TATCTGAAACATATATTCCTAGAGTAGTACTGCTAGGTCAAAGGACAAACACATTTGTAATTTGGATAGTGCCAAATTGCCTTTCATAGAAGTTGTACCAGTTCAGCACCCACCATGTGGTATTTTAGTTCATTATCTCAATTCATTCAAAAATGATTTGAAAGGTTCTGTCCCCAGAAATTTCAGGCATTAGGGAAAAGGAGGGGGAGGAGTAGAAATTCCGAGAAAGACATGCTGTCAGTTTTGTCTGTGTTAATAATGCCTATAAATACTTGACGAGCAGCAACTGATCTTAGAGCAGCTCCGGTGCCTGCACTATATCAGTGTCTCGGTCTTTCGGTAGAAGTATCTGCAAGTGTCATCATGAGACTGGAAGCTTTTTGAAGGCAGGGTCTTTTTCATAGCTGTATCCCACTCCCCCGCTCCATGATGCCTGACACAGTGGCTGGCACATATCTTATTTAATCAGTTCTAAGATGTGTTTTGTCCCCACACTTGTGTGTCTTTAAAATCAGTGTGCTCATAGTCCATGAATACCATTTCATAATTGCTGACCACATATCTTCTCAGTGGCACATAAAATAACATCTTAAAAATAAATGGGATTTGTGACTCAACAAAATATGGTAAAGGGCACACATATTAAGTGTGTGAGTGGAATGGGGCCAAGATGTCACTGCCCATGCCATCTTCTCACTCTGTGTTCTAACCTTCATCCCTCTTATCTAAGTCCATGCCTTCTTCTAATGATGCCTTTTATGGGGATGCCTTCTTGAGCTGCCATCTCTCCCCTGAACTCTAACAAACATTTCCAGCTACCTAAAGGACAAGGACCCCTCCGTATGGATGCTCCATAAAGCTCTCAAATTCAGTATGACCCCACATTGAACTAACATCTTCCTATCAACCACATCTTGCTTTTCCATTCTGTTAGAGGCTTTGCTAGGCTCTCACCCTTCAGGCCTAAAACTTCAGTTAAATTCAACTCTTCCAGGACTTCCCTGATGAGCCAGTAGTTAAGAATTTGCCTCCCAATGCAGGGGATGGAGGTTTGAACCCCGGTTAAGGAAGTAAGATCCCACATGCTGCAGAGTAACTAAGCCTGCAAGCTGCAACTAGAGAGAGGCTCCCAGATGCCACCATTAGAAAAAGCCCATGTACCACAAATAAAGACCCAGCACAACCAAAATTTTTTAAAAACACACACACACAAATGGACTTCCCTGGTGGTCCAGTGGTTGGGAATCCACCTGCCAATGCAAGGGACATGGATTTGATCCCTGGTCCAGGAAGAGCCCACATGCCTTGGGGCAATCAAGCCTGGGCACCACAACTACTGAAGCCCATGCACATAGAACCCATGCTCTGCAACGAGAGAAGCCACCACAGTGAGACACCCACACACTGTAACGAGACAGTAGCCCCTGCTTTCCCCAACTACAGAGAGTCTGTGCACAGCAACAAAACCCAGCCCCCTCAAAAAGACAGAGTCACCTCTTCCCTCTTTCTGTAAGCTTCCACTTATAGAAACAGCATTTTCTTTTTTTTTTTATTTTATTTTATTTATTTATTTATTTTTTAATCACAACCATAGTGTATCTTTTTTTTTTTTTTACATGTATTCCCCATCCCGGTCCCCCCTCCCACCTCCCTCTCCACCCAATCCCTCTGGGTCTTCCCAGTGCACCAGGCCCGAGCACTTGTCTCATGCACCCAACCTGGGCTGGTGAACTGTTTCACCCTAGATAATATACGTGTTTCGATGCTGTTCTCTTGAAACATCCCACCCTCGCCTTCTCCCAGAGTCCACAAGTCTGTTCTATACATAGGAGTCTCTTTTTCTGTTTTGCACATAGAGTTATCGTTACCATCTTTCTAAATTCCATATATATGTGTTAGTATACTGTAATGGTCTTTATCTTTCTGGCTTACTTCGCTCTGTATAATGGGCTCCAGTTTCATCCATCTCATTAGAACTGATTCAAATGAATTCTTTTTAATGGCTGAGTAATATTCCATGGTGTATATGTACCACAGCTTCCTCATCCATTCGTCTGCTGATGGGCATCTAGGTTGCTTCCATGTCCTGGCTATTATAAACAGTGCTGCGATGAACATTGGGGTACACGTGTCTCTTTCAGATCTGGTTTCCTCGGTGTGTATGCCCAGAAGTGGGATTGCTGGGTCATATGGCAGTTCTATTTCCAGCTTTTTAAGAAATCTCCACACTGTTTTCCATAGTGGCTGTACTAATTTGCATTCCCACCAACAGTGTAAGAGGGTTCCCTTTTCTCCACACCCTCTCCAGCATTTATTGCTTGTAGACTTTTGGATAGCAGCCATCCTGACTGGTGTGTAATGGTACCTCATTGTGGTTTTGATTTGCATTTCTCTGATAATGAGTGATGTTGAGCATCTTTTCATGTGAAACAGCATTTTCTAATACAATGGAACATTTAAAATGATAGTAACTCAAAGAATGAAGCTGGAGGACTCACACTTCTTGATTTTGAAACTTGCAGCAAAGTTACAGGAATCAAAACAGTGTGGTACTGGCATAATAGTTGTGTCTGACTCTTTGTGACTCCATGGACCATGGAACTCTCCAGGCCAGAATACTGGAATGGGTAGCCTTTCCCTTCTCCAGGGGATCTTCCCAACCCAGGGATTGAACCCAGGTCTCCCACGTTGCAGGCAGATTGTTTACCCAGTTGAGCCACAAGAGAAGCCCTTCTAATACAATGGAATGTTTAAAATGATAGTAACTAAAAGAATGAAGCTGGAGGACTCATAGTTCTTGATTTTGAAACTTGCAGCAAAGTTACAGGAATCAAAACAATGTGGTACTGGCATAAAGATAGACATTTAGACCAATAGAACAGAGTATCAAGCCTAGAAATAAGCCCTTGCATATATGGTCAAATGATTTTTGACAAGAGTGCTAAGATCCATTCAGTGGGGGAAAGGTCAGTCTTTTCAACTAATAGTGCTGGAAAACTGGATGGCCACATGCAAAGAAATGAAGTTGAACTTTTACTTCACATCATATACAAAAAAATTAACTCAAAATCAATCAAAGATCTAAATATAAAGCCTAAAACTATAAAACTCTTAGAAGAAAACATAGGAAAAAAGCTTCATAATACTGGATTTAGCAATGATTTCTTAGATGTGACACCAGGCAGCAAAAGAAAAACACAGACAAATTGAACTTTGGGGAAATTACAAATTTTGTGTGTCAAAATACATTATCAACAGAGTAAAAAGGCAACCCACAGAATGTAAGAAAATATTTTCAAATTATATATCTGATAAGGCATTAATATCACACTGAGGACATTATGCTAAGTGAAATAAGTCAGACAAAGAAAGACAAATTCCCTGTGATCTTACTTGTATGTACAATCTAAAACAATCCCCCACCCCTTGAAAAGAAACAAGCTCATAGATACAGAAAAAGCTTGGTAGTTGGTGGAGTAGAGGGGGTGGGGTGAGTGGGTGAAATGGGTGAAAGGGGTCAAAAGGTATAAACTTTCAGTTGTAAAATAAATAAGTCATGGACATGTAAGGTACAGCATGGTGCCTATAGTTAATAATATTGCATTGCATACTTGAAAGTTACTAAGAAAGTAAATCTTAAAAAGTCCTCATCACAAGAAGACAAAATTTTGTAACATACAGTGACAGATATTAATTAGATGTTATTCTGGTAACGATTTTGCTACATACAAATATCCAAATCATGATGTTGTATACTTAAAACTAACATAATGTTAGTTGTCAGTTATACCTCAATGACGTTTTTATAAAAAATAAGCAAAAAGAAAATGGGCAAAGTATTTGAATAGACATTCCTCCAAAAAAGATATACACAATGCAGATAAACAGTATCACTAGTCATTAGGTAAATGCAAATCAAAATTAGGATGACTACTGTCAAAAATCCAGTAAATAGCAAGTGTTGGTGAGGGTGTAGAGAAATTGAAACCCCTGTGCACTGTTGGTGAGAATGAGATGGTACAGTTGCTGTGGAAAACAGTATGGAGGTTCACCCTAAAATTAAAAAGGGAACTGTCACGGACTGGTGGTACAGTGGATAGGAATCCGCCTGCCAGTGCAGAGGACACAGGTCTGATCCCTGGTCCAGGAATTCCACGTGCCGCAGAGCAACGAAAGCCCGTGCTCCACAAGAGGAACCGCCTCAGTGAGAAGCCTGTGCACTGCAATGAAGAATAACTCCTGCTCACAGCAACTAGAGAAAGCCCATACTCAGCAATGAAGACCCAGCACAGCCCACCCCCCGAAAAAAAACAAAAACAAAAGCAGACATATTCTATGTTCCAGCAAGTACAGTTCTGGGAATACCTCTGCCAGGAGCTGGTGGGGAAGAGCGAATGAGGGATACTGTTTAATGAGGATAGAATTTCAGTTTCATAAGATGAAAAGAGTTAAGGAGATGGATGGTGGTGATGGTTGCATAACATTATGAATGTATTTAATATCACTGAACTGTATACTTTAAAATGGTCATGACTTTTTACGGTACTTTTTATGTTATGTATGTTTTACTACAATAAAAAAGTTTTTTGAAAAAAAATGTTAACAGCCTGAACATACTCATAGACCACTTACCACATGGCAGGTACTGGTCTAAACACTCCATGTTTGTTAACTGATGCTAACCCCCACAACAATCTTATGAGATTTATTAACTTGAATTGTAAAGATGAGAAAGTGAGGGTGACCAGTTGTCCCAGTTTGCCTGGGACTAAGGGTTTTTCCTAGAATTCAGGACTTTCAGTGCTACAACCATGAAAGCTCTGGGAAAACCCTAGTGAGTGGGTCCCTCTAAAAATAACTGAGGCCCAAAGAGACAGCATCTTCCTAGACATGTCAACAGGGCCCTTGTCCTAGGCTCTGCATGTCCAAGGGCTTCGCTCTGAGCTGCTTCCTGCTGTGCCCATTTTCATAGGCAAGGAGTCCCCTGGGTCCAAGAAGCCATGCCCACCCTGAGCCTGGGCATTCTTCTAGACTACACTGTGAGAACCAGGACTCCAGAACTCACTGTCCAAATAGCCAGGGTCCACTTTCAGCAACTGTACCAACCCTTCCCTGGGTCTGTCCTCCCAAGGGCAAACTTCCTTGCCATTGAGTACACCCCATACCCAGGGCTGGCTACTCATAAGAGGTGTGGATACACTCTGGCCATGTGGTCTGGGGTGTGGAAGGTGCATACAGGAGCCATAAATAGGAAGAGAAGGGATCTATCTCAGCCACTTTCTGACCTGGAACTCCAAGGAACTCAAGAGTTCTCAACTCAAAACTCAGTTTCTAGGTTACTTTGGAGGTATATTTGTCAAAGTATTGGGTTGACCAAACAGCTCAGTTGGGTCTTTCCATACCACCTCATGGGAAAGCTCGAAGGAAATTTTTGGCCAACTCAGTTCAGTTGAGTCATGCAGTCATGTCCACCTCTTTCCGACCCCATGGACTGCAGCACGTCAGGCCTCCCTGTCCATCGCCATCTCCTGGCTTTTACTTAAACTCATGTCCATTGAGTCGGTGATGCCATCCAACCATCTCAACCTCTGTCATCCCCTTCTCCTCCTGCCTTCAATCTTTCCCAGCATCAGGGTCTTTTCAAATGAGTCAGCTCTTTGCATCAGGTGGCCAAAGTATTGGAGTTTCAGCTTCAACATCAGTCCTTCCAATGAATATTCAGGACTGATTTCCTTTAGGATGGACTGGTTGGACCTCCTTGCAATTCAAGGGACTCTCCAACACCACAGTTAAAAAGCATCAATTATTGGGCACTCAGCTTCCTTTATAGTCCAACACTCAGATCCATACATGACCACTGGAAAAACCATAGCCTTGACTAGACGGACCTTTGTTGGCAAACTAATGTCTCTGCTTTTTAATATGCTGTCTAAGTTGGTCATAACTTTTCTTCCAAGGAGTAAGCGTCTTTTAATTTCATGGCTGCAGTCACCATCTGCAGTGATTTTGGAGCCCCGCAAAATAAAGTCTGCCACTGCTTCCACTGTTTCCCCATCTATCTGCCATGAAGTGATGGGACCAGATGCCATGATCTTAGTTTTCTGAATGTTGAGCTTTAAGCCAACTTTTTCACTCTCCTCTTTCACTTTCACCAAGAGGCTCTTCAGTTCTTCTTTGCTTTCTGCCATAAGGGTGGTGTCATCTGCATATCTGAGGTTATTGACATTTCTCCTGGCAATCTTCATCCAGCCTGCATTTCTCATGATGTACTCTGCATATAAGTTAAATAAGCAGGGTGACAATATACAGCCTTGACCTACTCCTTTTCCTATTTGGAACTAGTCTATTGTTCCATGTCCAGTTCTAACTGTTGCTTCCTGACCTGCATACAGATTTCTCAAGATGCAGGTCAGGTGGTCTGGTATTTCCATCTCTTTAAGAATTTTACGCAGTTTATTGTGATTCACACAGTCAAAGGCTTTGGTATAGTCAATAAAGCAGAAATAGATGTTTTTCTGGAACTCTCTTGTTTTTTTGATGATCCAATGGATGTTGGCAATTTGATCTCTGGTTCCTCTCTTTTCTAAAACCAGCTTGAACACCTGGAAGTTCATGGTTCACGTACTGTTGAAGCCTGGCTTGGAGAATTTTGAGCATTACTTCACTAGAGTGTGAGATGAGTACAATTGTGCAGTAGTTTGAGCATTCTTTGGCATTGCCTTTCTTTGGGACTGGAATGAAAACTAACCTTTTCCAGTTCCGTGGCCACTGCTGAGTTTTCCAAATTTGCTGGCATATTGAGCGCAGCACTTTCACAGCATCATCTTTCAGGATTTGAAACAACTCAGCTGGAATTCCATCACCTTCACTAGCTTTGTTCATAGTGATGCTTCCTAAGGTCCACTTGACTTCACATTCCAGGATGTTTGGCTCTAGGTGAGTGATCACACCATCGTGATTATCTGGGCCATGAAGATCTTTTTTGTATAGTTCTTCTGTGTATTCTTGCCACCTCTTCTTAATATCTTCTGCTTCTGTTAGGTCCATACAATTTCTGTCCTTTATTGTGCCCATCTTTGCATGAAATGTTCCCTTGGTATCTCTAATTTTCTTGAAGAGATTTCTAGTCTTTCCCATTCTATTGTTTTCCTCTATTTCTTTGCACTGATCACTGAGGAAGCCTTTTTTTATCTCTCCTTGCTATTCTTTGGAACTCTGCTTTCAGATGGGTATATCTTTCCTTTTTACCTTTGCTTTTCACTTCTCTTCTTTTCACAGCTATTTGTAAAGCCTCCTCAGACAGCCATTTTGCTTTTTTGCATTTCCTTCTCTTGGGGATGGTCTTGATCCCTGTCTCCTGCACAATGTCACAAACCTCCATCCATAGTTCATCAGGCACTCTATCAGATCTAGTCTCTTAAATCTATTTCTCACTTCCACTGTATAATCGTAAGAGCTTTGATTGAGGTCATACCTGAATGGTCTAGTGGTTTTCCCTACTTTCTTCAATTTCAGTCTGAATTTGGCAATAAGGAGTTCATGATCTGAGCCACAGTCAGCTCCCAGTCTTGTTTTTGCTGACTGTATAGAGCTTCTCCACCTTTGGCTGCAAAGAATATAATCAGTCTGATTTTGGTATTGACCATCTGGTGATGTTCATGTGTAGAGTCTGCTCTTGTGTTGGCTATGACCAGTGTGTTCTCTTGGCAAAAATCTGTTAGCCTTTGCCCTGCTTCATTCTGTACTCCAAGGCCAAATTTTCCTGTTACACCAGGCAATTTTGCTATACCAAATTGTACTGGCCAACTCAGTACAAGGGTAAAACATACATTTAAAAAAAAAAAAAACCTGTTTGTTAGCTTGACTTATAACTCTTAAATGCTTCGACATAAGATACGTGGGCTTCCCTTTCATACTCCTGCCTTGGGTCTAGCAAATGCTAGCAGCAGGCCGCCAAAGAGATTTAAGTCATGTGACTAACCATGCCCCAGGGGAGCACAGAGGTTTTGCAGTCTGGTTCCAAGTCTAGGCTTTTAGCTATCACTCTAAACTGTTTTATTAGCCTAACCCTATAATTTTACAATGGGGGAGAAAAGCCAGACAGAGAACTTTAGACATTTGTCCAGGGTCACACAACTAACTCAGGTCACAGCAGAAATTTGAAGCTGTGCTTTATTTTTTTTTTTTAATATTTATTTTTTGCTTCACTGGGTCTTTGTTACTGTGCAAAGATTTTCTCCAGTTGCGGGGGGTCGGGGGGTTACCCCCTAGATGCGGTACACAGGCTTCTCATTGTTGTGGTCTCTCTTGTAGGGCTCCCCTGGTGTCTAAGACAGTAAAGAATCTGCCTGTAATGCAGGAGACCCAGATTCAATCCCTGGGTCGGGAAGATCCCCTGGAGAAGGGAATGGCAACCGACTCCAGTATTCTTGCCTGGAGAATCCCACGGACAGAGGAATCTGGCAGGTTACAGCCCATGGAGTCACTTCCTAAAAAGTCACATTCCTGTCTGTTTTGCTGACAGCAATTCTCAGTCTTGAGTCCTTGGATTTTGTTTGTATCAAAATTCTCTCCACCTTCAAGGTCTTGATCAATCTTTCTGATCCCCATACACTCTCCTATATTGTAGCTATCCATATCTACGTTTGCCCTCCTCGGTAGAGAGTAAGCTTCTTCAGGGCAGGATTCTATACGGTTTTGTCTTTGTATCCCTACAGTGCCATGAGTAGACACTCACCAAATGTTAACCAGCTGGTTGATGTCTTTTTGGCCATTAAACCACACTTAGGGCTGAGGGTCAAACAGGACAAAACTAAGTATATGTATATATAATCTGCACCAACTATCACAGAGACATTTAAATATATTTATAAAATATATATATTTAACTTCTTTTTAAACTTTTAAATTTGAAATCATTTTAGATTTCCAGAACGTTGCGAAGATAGTACACCTAGTTCCCATAGACCTTTCAGCCAGCTCCCTGCTAGGTTAACATCTTACATAGTCATGGTACATTTATCCAAACCAAAAGATTAAATCTGGCACAATACTATTAGCTAAATGACTGGCTTTATCTGGATTCCCCGGTTGCCTACTGGGGTTCTTTCTGTGTTCCGGATCCTATTCAGGATACCACCTTGCATGTAGCATCTTATTTCCTTAGCCATTGACATTTCTTTTACTGGTGAGGCTGGAGGGGGGATGGGGGGTTGGATTGCTTTCTGTGTTTCTTGGAATCCTTTTCCAAATAATCAAAATGTGAGCAAGAAAGATGGCATAGGGATGGTGAGGTAGCAGCACTCGCCCTCTATTGGGCTGCTGGGGTTTCAAACAGGGAAGTGGCTGGAAGGATGATTTTCATCTGAGACCTCGTCTTTTTCTTGAATGGACACACGTGAGCCTAAAAACAGTATTACTTCAATTCATTAAATTTCTGGGCCATTCCATAGCCCATTTTCCCATGGACTGGCACAAAACACGTTCCCAGTTACTTATAAAAACTTCCAAGCAGTTGGCATTTATCAGCAATCTTAGCAATTCAGTGAGAACAGAGGTTACAGCTGTCACAGGAAGTTGAAACCAAGGCTGCTGAATCACACCCACCCAGGAGAAAGTGTTCACGGAGTAGTATTCAAGCCTGGAAGAGGGGGGTGTGGTTGGGGTGTCAGATGGAGGAGGGTGGGATGCTGTGTAAGAGAAAAGCAAAAGAAAAGCCCCTGTGTCTCCAGAATTCAGAGCTGATTTCCAGCCCTTCTGGGCTTATTGCTAAGCCCTTGCATCAGTGAGCACCAGCGCCGTGGTGCACTCATGACTGCCCCCTTCCCGCCACTTGACTGGGTCACCACAGACCACCGCCTCGATGGGCTTCAGTCTGCCCCCTGCCTCGAATCCATTACCAACAAGGGCACTTAACAACTCAAACCACTGGAGGATGGGGGCACCATCTAAGGGGGCAGAATGGGGTGTATTACTTTCATGGGGTTGCCTTAACAGGGTGCCACAAACTGGGTGGCCCAAACAACAGAAATATATTGCCTCTCATGGTTCCAGGGCTCAGAAATCCAAAATCTAGACGACAACAGGTTACTTCTGAGGGATGGGAGGGAGAATCCGCCACGCTCTCTTCTAGCTTCTGGCAGCCTCAGCTGTTGCTTGGCTTATAGATAGCAACCCCCTCCCCAAGCC